CTGGCGCTGGAGGTGCTGGTGGAGCTGCTGGAGCTGCTGGTGGTGCTGCTGGAGTTGGAGCTGCCGCTGGTACTGGAGCTGCTGGAGGTGCTGCTGGAGCTGGAGCTGGCGCTGGGGGTGCTGGTGCCGTTCCTGCTGGTTCTGGGGGTGCTGAGCGGCCGCGACCGTACTTCGTTCCGCTCCTTGAGCAGGTTCTTGCTCCCCCGTCTTCTCCTGGTCCTGCCCCCTCCGTTGGAGCTGCTGCGTCTGCTCTTGTTGCTGAGCTTGTCGACTTTGCTGCTTGCTGTCGTCTAGACTACGCTGCTAGTCTTGTTGCTGAGTCTGAGTCTGTCTGTCCTCCGTCCGTCGGGGGTGAGTGTGCCCTTGGCACGGACGTCCTTGAGGACAAGCAGGAGGAGTTCCAGTGTTTGGCTGCTGCTTCACCTCATCTCGTGTCCATGGTGCTTGCCCCTGAGGGAGACCCGGATGCACTAGACATCCCGACTCCGCGCTCTTACGCGGAGGCGGTTGAGGGTCCCTACTCCTCTCAGTGACAGGCAGCCATGGATGCAGAGATGGCTTCCTGGAAGTCCACAGGCACCTACGTCGACGAGGTTCCCCCACCTGGGGCAAACATCGTCAGTGGCATGTGGATTTTCAGGGTGAAGCGGCCGCCGGGTTCTCCGCCTGTCTTCAAGGCGCGTTACGTGGCTCGAGGCTTCAGTCAGCGACAGGGAGTTGACTACTTTCAGACCTTCTCTCCCACCCCAAAGATGACCACTCTTCGAGTACTACTGCATGTCGCTGCTCAGCGTGACTACGAGCTTCACTCTCTTGACTTCAGCACAACCTTTCTACAGGGCAGCCTGCACGAGGAGATCTGGCTGCGCCGCCCACCTGGCTTCACTGGGTCGTTTCCTCCTGGTACCCAGTGGAGCCTCCGGCGGCCGGTCTACGGTCTCCGCCAGGCACCCCGTGAGTGGCACGACACACTGAGGACTACACTTGCGGCACTTGGGTTTGCTCCTTCTACTGCTGACCCGTCGCTGTTTCTACGCACCGACACTTCGCTGCCGCCGTTCTACATCCTCGTGTACGTCGACGACTTGGTTTTTGCCACTGCTGACACTGAGGCACTGACTCTAGTGAAGTCGGAGCTGCAGAAGAGACACACGTGCACAGACCTGCGTGAACTGCGCAGCTATCTTGGCTTGCAGATCACTGGGGACAGAGCACGCCGCACCATCACCCTGACTCAGTCACACATGGTGCAGCAGGTCCTTCAGCGCTTCGACTTCCAGTACTTCTCGCCACAGTCCACTCCTCTGCCTATCGGTCACTCGCTCTCAGCTCTACCTTCGGATGAGTCCGTAGAGCCGAATGGCCCGTATCCAGAGCTTGTGGGCTGCCTCATGTACCTGATGACCTGCACTCGTTCTGACCTTGCTTACCCTCTTAGCATCCTGGCACGCTACGTTGCGCCCGGGAGACACCGACCAGAGCAGTGGAAGGCAGCTAAGAGGGTGATGCGCTACTTGTGCAGTACGTCAGGCATGGGGCTCGTGCTTGGAGGACGGGGTCCAGTTGTTCTCACTGGTCACGCAGACGCTTCTTGGGTTGACGACTTGGCTACGCAGCGGTCGTCACAGGGTTACACCTTCAGCCTTGGCTCCGGTTCTGTCTCTTGGCGGTCTACCTGCCCGTCTTCTGTTCTCAGCTCCAGTTGTGAGGCTGAGATCTACGCAGGGGCCATGGCTGCACAGGAGCTGCGCTGGCTCACCTACCTGCTGACCGACCTGGGCGAGGCGCCTCGTTCTCCTCCAGTTTTGTACGTCGACAACAAGGCAATGCTTGCCTTGTGTCGCGAGCAGAGACTGGAGCACAGAACGAAGCACTTCGCTCTTCGCTACTTCCTTGCTCGAGAGTTGCAGCAGCGTGGTCAGCTTCGCCTTGCCTACGTGGCCTTTGATGTGTTCACCAAGGTACTGTCGCCTCTTGACCATCAACGATTCAGTACTGCTCTTGGCCTTGTTCCTGTGTCTTCTCACTTACTTACTTCTTGACCTTGCCTGTACTGTGATTTATACTATATACCTACATGCCTGCTCTTGTTCGGTAGTGATCACTGTACTGTTGCTTTTGCATATATATCTCTGCATGTGGACTGGCCTTGTGGCCCTTTGCTTGTGCTCAGATTGTGTGGTGACGTTGTGATCCACCCTGAGCTTGCTTTGCTTCTCTTGACTGGTCTTGTGACCTCTTGTTCTCCCCCACTTTGCCTATGGGGGTGTGTCAAACTCATATGCTATAGTCTGTGTAGGCTGTAGTGGGGTAGCTCATATGGGGTACAACACTTTAGGGTTTCCTACTTGTACTCCTCATGCTGCTCAATGCAATCATTCCTACTGCTAGATTCTAACAGTACTAACATCGCGAAAGTCCAAGGCCAGAAAATTTGCACGCATGCAGCTTCAAAGTTGCTTTTACGCAACTTTGGTTTCACGAGAAAAAAATCTAGGTCAATTGCTTCCTTGTCAGGGTTACAGGGACAGTCACATTTTCGCAACTTTCCCGCAGCTTTCTAGCAACGGTCCAAGCAACATTACCGCAATAGGCTCAGTGTAGTGGGGGTCACGTTTCCGCGATGTGTTCCACGGTGACATTTGCGACACCATGCAGCCACTCTACAGTTACACATGTGCGTTGCCATTTTCTTGCATTGGAGCATACATGAAGTCACTATTCCACGTCAGCCTAAATCTCCACGTGGAATCACGCTTTATGCCAGGTGGAAGCCCATCACTGACGAATTGTCTCATGCCACATGTAGGGTCAAGATGGCCACATTTATACGATTGCGATTGTCCCATGGCAACTACCGAACACCAACCCGTCCACGACAAATGGCCCTTCCGAATACGTCGCCAACCTCCACTAATCTCTCGGGTACACCACATAACGACCGTTCGTCCGATACAAATGTGCTTCCTCGATTGGTTACGCAATCCAGCTATACATACACACGCCGTCGGATCTGATTTACTCCATGTCCACCTAAGACACCTGATACCACTCGCGTCCCCCACATATAATCATCGTGGATCTCGCCATAACACACCTGTGACCATCTCCATCACCCATGTGGCCAATATACACTGGACACTAAATCTCGGCCTACAATAAATACCGTATCAGTGACGAAGGCGTCGGCCGATTGTACGGTTGCCATTTAGCCATGTCGTTAGACCACTATCTCATCTAACGGCCCTAATAAAACAAGCCGCATTTCTCGCCGCAATTCGCGCAGCGATTCACGGAATGCAAAGAATTGCGTATTATCCTTTCTCATATGCAACAAAATCACGTTCTCACTAGTGTGTCTATCATCCGTAATAAATGTCCTCGTTTTATTTCCTATCCCTTCTAAGCCACTACATCAGTCTAGGAAACCCCAATTGCCCCAAATACTCTGCAAATCACGCGTCTGATTCACTATCAGATGAGCTCGCGTCAGACTCTCCACCACCGTCTTCGGAGTCTGCGTCATCTTCCAGTAAGGATTCCAGGCCGCAAGATGATAGACGGATCCTATGCTTGCCCCACTTCCAGGATTTCTTCGCCTCGACGTAGTCCACTTCTTTCCCGCACACGGCATCCGCAATGGCATCAAAGGCCAGCTTCTGAATCCGGCGCACAGAAGCGCCGTTCTCGCAAGGAGAATTGTGCTATTTCCCTTTTCGAGTATCCCAGTTGATAATGGCGTCCGTGATCTGCGACAGCATAAGAAGCTCACTTCAAACGGAGACTTGTATTGAAGAGGCAACAAGATACGTGCGCAATGTTGTACACGTACCACGTGCTCTAGCCACGACATGTGGTAGAGCTTTAGAGTTGTTTCCTTCTCCTCTCGCTTCCCTCTGAAAGCCGCCATGGCACATGCTGAGAACGCTTTTGAAGCGAAGGGCAGTCCATCCTTGCTATAGTGCCACCTGCACAAGGCGGGTTCCACTGCGCATGCGGCAATAAATATGGGTACAATGATGGACGGCATGGGGGAGGAAGTGGGTTGAGTGTCCGTAGTGGTCCACGCTGGCATGATCCTAATGCCGAGGCCTGAATTACACCGGCCACATAACTTGCGAACCCGCACCATCGTCTTCGCCTAGAACTCCATATCTGATTCAAGCACTCGCCCCAGTGCGCTCCGTCTTACGTGCCCGAGGACTGGCTCGGTCCTCATCGTCCCAGAAAATACTCATACGGGGCAGAAATACTTAGCGCGCGCGCACCCGGCCAAGCCTGTCTTGTACTCGGACAATGAATGTTCAGATCTTGTCTTCTAGCCTTATCCGCGTCTAATGCCAGAGTCGCAACCTTTGGAGGAATCATTGACACGACATGGCACAGGCCGACTGTTTTGGCGTCGCGACTCGGATAGAAGTCCATCTTCTCATTTGGTGCTTCTAAAAACAGATGATCCTTTACCAGGTCGCAAACACCCTGCGACAATGAACATAGCGTGCCACGGGGGTAGATCACGGTGACGAAATCGGTATTGCTGCCAATAAACATGACATGACATTCTAGAAACACACTCAATGATGCCTCACCTTCCAAGCCTTCTCTGCAGGAAGAATGTCAAGAGCATCTTGGAGCACTGGCGACTTGTGGGTACTCTTGTACTATGCCACTTTCGTCGGCAACTTGTCCTCATCGCACGTGGATTCCTCGTCCTCATCTGCCTGGCGTTTCTGCTTTGATACGTCCCTGCCGAGCGATGCTGCCGCACGCGGAGACGGCCACTTGCGCTTCCGCTCCTCACCAAGGGCAATAATGGTTAGTACATGTGTCTCCAGATGAGCCATTGTCTTCGCGGTCTCCATCTGGGACTGCTGCAACGCCTCAAATTCCTCGCGTGTGACGTGGCCACCGGCTGGTTCTTTCCGCTTCTTCGAAGATGGCACTTTCGGCACCTGTTCCTCCCTTGCTCCATCTTCCCCACACGGATCGTTGCTTGACGACTAACCACTGGCGTCTTCTTCCCCGCCGTTGTCCTCCTCGCCTTCCATTAACTCATCTATCAGGCGTTCCTTCCCTGCCTCGGTGTCGTCCTCCACCGCGTTTGCAGTTGCGAAAATGGGCGTGGCGGCTGCATCCGCGTCGCCGGCCCCGACATCCTTGTCGCTGCATATCTGCATCGCATATATTACAGAGTTATCGTTTGGTGCACAGCGGTGGATATATCACCAGTGTCATGCATTATCCCGCCGACATCATCGGTCTAATAAGTGTTGCGTCAACCAACTGTTACCTTCGATATGCCCCGCGTCCTTCTCCTTCTTGCCACTCTTTGCTGTATAGGTTGTGCGCTTCTTGGCATCTGGCATGCAGCCACCTTTCTTCCTCCTCTCCGGGTACTGATACGAAGACGCTAACCAAGACGGCGCATTCTTCGCACGCTTGGAACGACCGCCCTCTGCAAGACTCATCTCGACCTCGCGCACAGACATAACTAGCTGACTCCAGACACCGCGGGATCGAAATCGCATAGCCGAAACCAGCTTTGGGCTCTACCCTCACAACAACCTGGCGAGCATATTGCAGAGACCGAGACCGGTATTGCTCACCGCACAAATTGCTACATACTATTGGCCACTCGCACATATGTACACATGTTACAGTTGGATTGGCCAGTTGGATTACCTGTCAATGTCAACCACTCAATGCACATGTTAATTGTCGTCTTGCTATGATGGTCCACCCGATGCTCATCCTCGTCTCTGTAAAACGACGTGTACCACAATCCGTCCGACATGCACTTTTACAGTTGTGACAATTGCATGTGAAATTTAGCATTCAATTACGCACTGCTGTACCCCTAGCGCCAAATGCTACTACATGAAACATATGTGCCAGGACATTTCATAGTTCTTCATGTATTTACAGAATCATGACAGAGACAGCTCAATCTCTACACATACGTCAAACTTACCCAACACAGAAAGCTAAGTCGGACCCGAAATTTGGTCTGACCACATCAGCAACGACCTAGCACATCATTTTCTTGAATGGCCATCACTATCATGACTTCATGCAGCTTTGTGCACAGGGTTGACCTCCTCCCAATCCTCTTCATCCTCCATGCCATCGTTCCCAGGTTCATATACAGCATCATCGTCCACAGACTCCTCGTCATCTGTGTAGTCCTCTGGTGGGTCCTGGATTTCTTCAGCCATAGGCTGGTCCTCTGTCTGCGTGGCCGCCTCCACCTCCTCCACGTCATTCATGGCCCGGGAGGCTCTGCCCTTTCGCCTCGAACGGGTCTCGACCGGATGCGCATCATCCAGACCCTCCATTGCGGCTCTCCACTCCCTCCATCTGTTCCAACACCTGTACTTCACGAGTAGCCTTAGGTTCTCCTCGGTGGAGCCGGCTAGCTCCTGCCTCTCCATGTCTGACAGCTGCACCGTGCAGCTTATGCGGGAGTTCGGACGAAGGACAACCGCTCTCGCAGCGTACGCTTATGCAACCTCGTATTTGTCCTCGTACGACCCCAGACGAACCTGCTGCCGGCCAGCAGATATGATCCGGACGTAGTACCTCTGCTTCTCAGAGTTCCACATCACACCCGTTCGTCCGCTGCTTGCGGCCCTTCCGGGGTTACCTGGAGCTGCAGGCACGGGAGTCGTAGCGCGGCTGCGAAGCACCAGGGCAAGATGGTCGCGCTCTTGATGCCGGACCACAGCAGGTGTCATATCTCCGGCAGAGACCAGGCCATCTTTCGTGGCAGGTGTGCGCGGTGCAAGGTAGGGTGGGATTGCTGGCACTACCGCCAGTGCCCGCGTTTGAGTAGTCCGAGCGCTCTCTGGCTGGCCACTTCCGTCCGCCGTGTACTCAGCTTTGGCATGCTTTCGTGGAGTCGCCGTTGGCACCAACGTCTCAGCCACGGCACCCAAGTGTTGTCGCGCCCCTGCGTCCAGCTCGTCCGACGTCACGCCTTTGCGGATGGCCAGATACTCAATCTTGGTCGTAAGAACCTGTATGTCATGCTCGATCACTGCGAACTTCTCTTTTTGGTCGAGCAACTCTCTTCGGATGTCCACATGTGGGTCGACGCACATGTATCCGTTGTCGTCGATAACGGGAACAGGCTGCAGAGGGATGCGGAGACCCTGGCGCTGCGGTTCGGGTAGCAGCGTTCCATCGGCATGAGAACAAAGATCTGCACGCATCTTGTGGCGGTATCTCTCCGCTCTCACACCCTTGAACGATATGTACGAACCTAGATGTCACCAGTGCTTCGAGATACTTGGATGTATACACACCGCAGTCCCAGTTGTTAGGCTGTTTGGGGATCTGGTGACCCTGCGCACAAATGGGGCATGGGGATTGACATCATCACACCAAGCTCCCGTAATGAAAACATACTGGAGAAGTAAGAGGCAACGTCATCCCCGCAACTTACCTCCATGGTTATCGTTGTGGACTTGATCAGCGCCTGCCTAGCCTCCTCTGGGTCCACCTCCGGATGCTCGTGTCGGCACATGAGGTGCAGTAACCTGCACGACAGTTAGCCACCCAGTCATACGTGGCCGCAAAAGGTGTACGGAAAAACGTCATGAACGTGTGATCTATAACGATACTCACGCTTTAGTTCCGTCAAGAGATCCGTCGTCTTGGCGTGGAGGCCGTCACTGTCGAATAGGATGAACTCCATAGGTGAGGCCGTTGTGCTTACAATTCCGCTCGGGTTGGTGACCACCATCAAAGAATAGTGCTTCCTGCACGATCCACGATTCGGTGTTTGACGGGCGCGTTGGATGGGCGAATTTAACACGGGAGAAGATCCCGTACGTACCCGGCAAATATTGGAACGACGATGTAATCGTAGTCGAATACGGATGGGCCCGTGCATCTCCCGACGGGCTTCTTGTGAATCTGGGCATACGCATACGCCTTGCTGTCAAGGACCACCCAAGATTTTCCATTCGGACATCTCGGGTACCTGATGTTCAGGAGGCTGCATGGGGGTGAAGGGACAAAGGACGAGGCACGACGCAACTTACTGATCAACAGGCCGTGCTAACGACATGTTCGCGTGTATGAGTACCGCCTGCGAAAACGTACATGTTATGGAAATCCATGACTGCGTTCCCGAAATATGTCTTGTCGGCCAGCGTTACGGCGTCATGCGCCGTCACCTAACAACCCACGCCCATGCGGTTATACAGCGACACCGTTGCGAAAGTCGATGACTAAGGTGCGTTCAAGAGATCTGTCAGCGCGTCATTCGGCGCAGGCTCTTCCTTGACGCCAACCAACCGCTAGCCCCATGGGGATATTCTCGCCTCAGCTGCATTCTCATGAATGGTTTTCCCCTGCTGAATTTCATGCGAGCGCATTCGCTTGTGGCCCTGTGATTCCGGGATAGTGGTTTTATCCTGCCACGCCCCAGCCGCTTGCCTACGCGTTGCCATGGCCTCAGGCGTGCGGAGACCGCGCATAGCGGCATGTGCTTTGGTTCGAGGCACCATGGCTACTCAGAGATGGGGATACAAGATGAAACCCTAGCCTGGCAAGAACTTAGCCCCTGGGCTTTGGTTCGACAAAACCACTTATCGGCACAAACAGGCACCATCGGTAAAAATTCTCGGATCGGTTGAGTTGATGTAGACCTAGGCACTACTCGCGATTTCCGAATGTGGATACCACCATGGCGGTGCGTGATTGGCAGCAAGTTTCGTGTGAAGTTGACACTTGTTACGTGCCTTTAACTTTCCGAGGATACTGTTCCCTTGTCAACATACAACTTTGCGACACAACACAACATTGTGTTACTCAGTGGTGCAATATTTTATAAACGGCATATGTCCCACGATAAAACAATAAAACACTAATAACGAGGATGTTACTGTACCGAACAGTTCCATGATGGGGACAGAAATTGACTGAGCTCGTCTTGTAACGTGGACAATATGAAAATTCCACGAACAAAGGTATGGTGAAAGAAAAGAAGATCCACATTAAAATGCAGTTGGATGTAGCTTCATAATGAGCTCCAGTTAGTAAGGAGTATGTAGGGAATTTTCACAAACTATGAATGCGTCTTGACATACAAAATCATGTTCACAAATGCTAGCATACCCAACACGCCCGCTATGAAACTATAAAGGGTACTGCGAAGTCACTAACAGATGAGCATTCTGGGCACACACATGTGGTTATAACCGCGCACAACTCTTTTAGTCTATGACATGTACCCACGTCATTACGCAATCCGTATATTCTGTGGCCACAAATGGTCAATCTACGTTGGGCAGGGCAAAAAACGCCCGGTGCACTGGTGCTCATGCAAACAGAAGCTCGACCCGGGCTTTGTCAAGTAGCCTAGAGAGTGGACGCTGGACCCTCCTCACTTAACGGGTATATCATATGCAGCTTGGGGTTTTGGGACGCTATTTTACTTCCATGGCGGCACTAAAGGATCTCATGACGCGCCTCGGTGCAACCCCAAGCCACGTCTACTTCTTTGTAGAGGTTACACTCCTCCCTGTACGTGCATCCGTTTGGCGCGCGCAATGGGAATGAACTGAAGAGGCTGTCTATCGGCCTTCTCTATTCCGTCGACGCCGCGCACCGCTTCAGGCCCATTGTAGTGAGCCGCGACCGTGATCCAATGCAGATAGGCTCCGATGTGAATGGCGACGAGTGGGCGTACGTCCGCCGCACTCGGTCCGGCCGCATAACACCCGAGGTAATGGCCATCTGCAGAACATCAGAAGATGTCTCTTGTGTATGGACTCCTGAAGTTGTTGCTTAATAAATGTCTCTGTGATTGTCGCTGTTGTACGGTGCAGCTCTTCACACAATTCATGCTTGGTCTCAACGCAGTGAAGTTCGCCGAAGATCGTGACATCGTCGTCCTTGTGTCCTCACGTCATCACAAGCTCACTTGGGGAGAGGGCAAGCGGGAAACAAATGGGCCCTTCATGGTGCACCACCGAACCCATACTCGCATTGTGCAACTCCATAATACTGTACCGGACATGGGAACCCAATGTTGCAGGGCATTGTAGCGTTTTTCAAGACTGAATGGCGCACGATGTGGGTGGACTTCCAGACACGGTGCATGACGCGCGTGCCTCCAGCATGGATGTGGACCAGTAACTCTCCTTCAGCCGCGAATACATTGCAGTGGACGTACGAGATGCTTTGGGGGGTGGTGACATCCCACATTCAGCTCACATTTTGGCGCACTGGGAGCGCCCCGGACGAGTGGTTGTCTCAGCTACACGTGATCAACAGTGACATGCATGTCGAGATCGTGGAGCAGCTCGTGGCAAGCCTCATGGGCCTGCAGAGGAAGCTGGACAAGTTGGATCACCCCGAATTCGTTCTGGAAGCAATAGACTACGCGACATGGGATGACGAGGTGGACAGTGATATGGCCAAAGACTTTCACGAGCCTTTCAGCCGACGGGTAGATGATTCAAGCAGTGTCGGCCCTGTCTCATGGGACGACAGGACTCGCCGCATGTTCATGCGTATGGCATCCGATGCGCACACAAGGCTTGCTAGCGCGAAGGGAGTTGCTCCTCATGACGTTGTTATGCTTAAGCGCTTGGGGAACACGGACCTTGTAGACCGCCTGGTGTGCACACATGAGAAGAAGGTTCGGAGGCATTCCTACACTTCTCCGTCGTCCATGTCTTCCACGGCAAGCGAGGAGATATGCTTCCACTCCCCTATGACATCCCTGGCTAGCGTGCATGAGGACATTGAGTATGGGCTGTAGTTTGCATGTCGATGGAGTTATGAATATCCGTTCATAGTGTTAAGTAGGCACCACATTGGAAAATCATAATGTTCGTTGCGAGTTTGCTTACATTGGGGACATATAGGTAATGAGATTCCCGATATGTCACAATCCTTTATAAGCAATCAATGGTCAAAACCGATGTGCTTTGTAATTTCAGGGTTTGTCTTCAGTCCACCCCGATAATCATTTAGCGTGCCAACTCTCACGAAACCTTGCCACACCGATATTTATCGTACGAGAATTGCGTATCCGGATTGCCATAGGACAAACGACCACGCAATTCTCATTTACGCCTCAAACCCTAGCGCTTAACGGACCAGTAGAGGGTGTAGTCGGTCGTGGCAGAATGAGCGCAACGCGTTCAATATCACGCGACGTCCTAGAGCCTCGCCGCCGCAACACTCGGGGTTATTTCATACGGGCAAATCCCACGATAGCCTACGCCATAATGCAGGTGCAGGGTGCCATACTCACTCATTGAGGTGAGACCCTTAGCGCAGCCACCATTCTGAGGTCGCTGGACCCATTCCTGGGTAG